TGGTCCTCGATTCATTCCACCACTTTCCCACGAGGGCAGCAATTAAATACTAAAGGGACGATATCAATGCCAACTGGAGATAAATAAAAGAACAAACAAAAAGGGCACAATCGCAACAGAATCAGACCAAGGTGCTTCGTATTGGGATATTTTCCTATCCCCAGAACAATGTTTACAGAGGGGGATCCTACCTATACCACCCTTCACTCAGAGAATCCGACACGCTCAGAATGCTAGGCTACAGGCATTCCAACATAGCAGAATACAATGATATCATTTTAGTATGGCGGCATGTATGTACATGTACATGTACGTGTTCATTTGCACCCTCTTATGGCCAGATATCAAGCTTCTGCGATCTGTATCTACATCAAATCGCAAGCCGGCCTACACTGATCCTGCCAGCGCGGGACATGTAAATAAATATGGGAATTGCTTGTTCCGTCCCCAGTCGAGTCGTCTGAAGAACTATCCTAGCGTCGATCTAGAATAGCTCTCCAGCTCGACTGCGCAGCCAGGCCAGACCACATTATCCCGCACCAAAGGCTCGCATGGATGGCGGGATCAGAGCTATGATTTTTAATACACAGTCTCTAATATCATGAAAATAGAGTTCTTCTGTGAAATCTGTTTTTATCAGAAGTCAGTGAATCTTATATTTTTCAAGGTTATCTTTATTTATTTTTATCTATGAAATTAATGAGAAAAATTATTGATTTCAATGTTCTTCTCTCAATATTATTCAAGTGATAGCTGCTCTCCCAACTATTTCGTTCTGCGTGAACTTGAGTTTGTTAAAACAAAAAGAAAATACTGCTGCTCCTGGGACGAGGCCCCTGCAGGCTAGGCAGCTAGTTAATAATTAGCAGGACTAAAAAAAGCAACAAAAAGGCTCTGGCAAAGCTCGTTAAACTCCCAAGCTTGCTCTTCAATAATATATTATTCATGTATGTTGCTTCCTATCCTTCCTGCACAGAGTAAATCGAGAAGAAAAAGAAAAAGAAAGATAGAAAACACAGACATCTGTTTGATGTCTCTCTGAGCAAACACACAGCACTCAGGAGCTTTTTAAAAGCGCCGGGTTTGTGATCACTGAGAAGAAATACTACATGTACTCTTTTTAGTATCTCAGAAAAACATTAGGCCTCACCTTCTTTGCACTCAAATGAGGCCTCTTCTTCACTAGTTTCTACCCCGGGATCTACTATTTATTCACTCTTGATCCACATAGTTTATTCATAAGGCGTCTAAAAACCCCCTCCGTCATATATATGTAATTCCATCGCTGCTGTTGGTAGAGGTTCTTGCAGAGGAAAATGGAAAGGAAAAGTTAAATAGTTAAGTTAATCCCCAGGATTTCCATGCTAGTGCGATAATCGCCACTACTACGGCAGATACCCGCTTCCCTAAAATTTTCCTACGCTGGGGTAAAATAAAAAAAAAATAACCCAAGAGGCGAATGGGAGTTGTGTCGCCGATGCGCTGAGAGCTCGCATCGTGACTTTGAGGAAGAAAGCGGGAAGGTTTGGCCCTGCTTTCTATCTGTGTTGGGATAATTCCAAACCTCTAGCATAATGAAAACGGATTCAGCCCTTTCGGTTTTCATTCTGGTCCTTTCAACCCTCGTTTTCTTCCGCAGGGCCTGAAACTGGCTGGACTAGGTGTTCCTTGACCTCGTTCTCTGCATATATATATATTCCTATAACTATATCCAGGTATCCATACCCAGCTGCAACCGCCTAGCGATTTTCTCATTCTCGAACCTCCAGTACCAAACAGCCCAAGACTCTCTAGAACAACCCCTTTGTCTTGTCGAATCACTGCTTCCTCCTATCTTAGTGATAGAGATTTTGTTTTCTAGAACGGACTAGGCACCCAGTCAGGGCCCTGAATCGCCTTTGCTCCGCTTGATCGCTCCTGATGTACCCCTCTATGGGACCTCCCTCCGGGGTTCTAGGTTTCAATGAACCTTCCGACCAGGACCTCATGCAGGGAGCTTCCCCTGGAATGCCGATGCACTGGAATGCGGTGTACTATGCCAATTGGCGGGCCAATAACATACCGCCTCCCTCAGCGTTGAATCTAGGTTATATATCCCATATATTCTACGCTTTTGCTTGGTATGAATGGAATAAGGGGAGAATTTACCCCCCCCCAAAACTCCTTCCCCCCTTGCTTCACAGGCCCAAATTAAGGCAATACAAGACAGACAGCTTACTGGAATGGAGTTGGTAGGGTGAAAGAGGACGGTAGCGTCTCTGTTCGTGTTTCCCCCCCCCCCCCCGGACAACAACCCCGTGGGGTCATTGATACATGTATATCCTTGTTTTAAAAAGGCAGCCGTAACTGACGATTTCTCCAGCTTAGCAACGAATGGGTGGACGAATACCAGCCAGTCGATGGCACTCAGGGATATCTTCGGGCACTCGTCCAGCGGAAACACGACAGCCAGGTAAAAGTGCTCCTTTCGATCGGGGGCGGGGGCATAGGCAGCAAGAATTTCGCAGAGGTCGCTGGGAACCCAGCAGCAGTTGAGAGATTTCTATCAAGCACCACAGAGCTGGCGAATAAATTTAACCTTGATGGGTTTGATAGTACGGAAAACCCTTCCCGATAGGCTGCCCCAACCCCGAGGATGGTTTCAGTTCATATGGGTGACAAGCAAAGACAATATTCCGCTAACAAGTATAAAAAAAAAAAAAAACAAAACAGTAAACTGGGAACACCCCGAAACCCTCGAACAGGGCTACGACTACAACACCCTCCTGTACCGCATGCGCGAAAAATTCCCAAGCCCAACCTACCTCCTCACCACCGCCCTCTCAGCCGGCCAATGGGTCCTCAACAAAATAAACCTTGTCGAAGCCCACCTCTATGTCGACCTCATCAATCTCATGACATACGACTTCTCCGGCCCCTGGATGCCTCACAGCGGGCACCACGCTCAACTCTACGCACCACCACCGCCACCGCAACCGGCGCCATCAGGAGTGCCAGGCCCGCCTCAAACTGCGGCGGCGACGAATAGTACATGTACCATGTCGTGCTCCTCAGGGGTCGCCTATCTGTTAAGCTGGGGCGTGCCCGCCGATAAAATCCTCCTAGGCATTCCCGCGTACGGTCGTGCGTTCCCGGGGGCGTATGGGATTAATCAGCCGTACGATAGAGGGGGCGAGGAGAAGGTGTTTGATTACCGTGAGTTACCGCTGCCCGGGACAGAGGAGGTGCACGATGACGTGGTTGGTGCGGCTTATTGTGTTGATGTCGGCGGTGGGGGAGGAGGAGGTGGTGGTGGTGGAGGGGGGGGAGGGGCCGGGTTCATTTCGTACGATTCGCCGCGGACAGTAACGCAAAAGGCACATTTTGTATCGGAGTTTGGCCTGGGGGGGCTTTTCTATTGGCATATCGCGACGGATGCGGGTGTGGAGACGAGGAGGAGTCTGGTGGCCACTGGGTATTGTGCGCTGCATCCGTGGATGATTTCTACGTCGAATGAGAGGAGGTGGGGGAGAGAAAGATGATGATGTTGATGATGATAGTTTCGGGCGTTTGGGTGGGATTCATAATAATGGAATGACTTTAATCAGAAGAAAGGCATACATGCATCACTCTCATTTACCCCCTTTTTCCCCTCCCTTCAATTCTATTGTTGTCTCCCCGGCGGGTTGTATTACGCCATTTCTCATTAAAAAAAAAAAAAAAAAAAAAGAAAAAAGAAAAGAAAGACATTTTTATTATCCCCTATTTTTAATATTAACCACCACCCCCCGAGGAAAAGAGTAAATTGGAAATACCTATATAAGACGCAGCTCTTTATCATTGTTGACGATGCTCTGGCGTCGGGCAAGGTAACAACGTAAGTATCGCTCGAAATTCGAAATAGGCGAGACAGAAGGGGCATGGTAGTAAATGTATAGCTTGCTGTCTTACTATTCCGTACTTGTTCTATGATATGCAGACAGGTAGATGCATGAATTTTTCCGGGTCAGGGGAGGGGAGGGAGGGGAGGGGGGAGGATATATATTTTTGTAAATGTCATGTGAAAAGGCAGGGGGCTTCCAGGGGGGGGGGGGGGAGGAGGAGGGGAAGAGAAGAGGGGGTTCACATATAACGACCACATCTACGTCCAACAATCATAGAAGAAGAAGAAGCAGAAAATAAATAAATTAGAAACCCCCGAATCAAAAAGAGATAAGAGATAGGTGTGTAGAAAGAATTTTTTAAGTCGAGCGAGGTGATTAATAAATCGTTCGTAGGAACCACTAAATTAATTACATACATAACTACGGATTATGGCGGCACATGCTCCTTGACATAATAGATAAAACAAAACAAACAAGGTATCATTTTCGGACATCGGAAATAAAATAATCGTATATACTAGCGGGGTGGATGATATTATAGCCACAAAGGATATATACATATATATATAGATATATATATATATGAATAATAGAGACAAAAAAGCGGCAGCGAAGCAAAAGAACATATATATACCCACAGACACGTCGCCGGCGGAAAAACGAAGACAACGACGAGTGTGCGTGTACGTATGTACAGTACATGTACGCTGGATGTACAGTACGTTACGTCATAGTAAAGGCCGCCCGCGCCATCATTACCTCCAACCACCACATTAAAAAGAAATCGAAAAAAAAAGAAAAGAAAAGAAAATTGTAAAAAAAATTACTTCACGTCACACCCAAAACCTCTCCATCACCCTTATTTATTTCCCACCAAGCCCCAACAACGGTGCCAAATCCAACTCAATATGCAGCG